ATTGTTTTTGCAGTGCATTGGCAGATCATCTGATTTATCTACTCAAATTAGGGGAAAATACACTTAATTTAAGACATTTTTACTTATTTCTAGATTGTTTTTGCAGTGCATTGGCAGATCATCTGATTTATCTACTCAAATTAAGGGTAACTACACTTAATTTAGGACATTTTTTTACCTTTTTTAGATTGTTTTTTCCAGTGCAATGTGAAATAATTAAAGCAGCAATTTCTAAAGTGAACCAGAGACGTTGTTCAAAGGCTTTTATGGCTCTTTTCCATCACACCTCTTTCCATTTCTGTCGCACTTTTCATTGCTTCCCCTTAACCTCTAACCCCTCTGTGCACGTTAAAAGCATTCCATCAGTTAGGAGCTGTGTTGCATCATTTCCGATCCGCCATCTGATGTATTTTAAAGGGTAAAGACAGAGCAAACATCACAGGGTGAAGGGAATCAGTGTTGAGTGTCATCACAGAGGAGTCTGGTTTACTTTTAAAGAGACCACAAGGCTGATCTGTGAATTTGTGAGTGATTGGATGCAGACCTATTTGACGCGCTGCCTCCAGTTGCTCATAGGTGGCCAGCTTCCCGCCCTCGTATTGGCAGACAGCCTTGGCCTCCCTGTACGTCAGCTGATACCTCCCCTTTCGTGACTCGCGATGGTAAACCCCAGCTGCTTGTTCTGTCAAAAACAAAGAAAACAGAAAAGCTGTGTCAGAATTCAAATAACTAGGGATCCTTAAATCCCAGATAAAAAGGGTGTGCAATACAGTCTAATTTCATATTACAAATTTACGTTTCATAAGATCAAACTTGTCACTCCAGGCAGCTAAAATGTTCATGTACAGTTGGGTCTCACAACCTGGTCACAGGCAAATTAAACCACACTAAAACCTTTAGAATCTCTTTACATACAATCTAAATTTTGGATATAAAAAGCATCGAAATAATCCCCATTTTAAGCTGGGAAAATTCCATCAAGCATTCAAACCTCTGTCTGTTTTACTAAATAATCCATGGTGTGTCATCTCCTCCACTCAGTCACACTGATAGCAACACGGGGGTCGGCCGGAGGAGACGGTGTTTTTCCTCTGCGTAGAAATTATTTTGGTCTTTGAACATACACTCAAAAAGCATCTAAAATACCATATAATAACAATAAAAAAAAATTGAAA